TACCTATCACTGTGATATTTCCCATGCCTTCTCCATTAATCCCTCATGACTTCATACTGGTGTGCTGTCCTGGGGAGCAGAGCGGTGTGCAACCTTCTCAAGAAGTGGGTCCAAAGGATCATCCAGGGTGGGACACCCAAGGGACAAGCAGGTGGCTGTGTCACAGCCTGCATGCGGTGGGGGTGAGGGTGGGGGTGGACCACGGCCTATGTGAAACATGCTCTCCAGAGGGCAGGGCATCTGAGTGGGAACCCCAAAGCAAGAGCTGTCTCAGGAACAGGAGCCCCAAGGCCCAACAGTCTCCACACTGCCCCATAATATCCCGTGGCGACACCCTCACTGACCCATAGATGTCTGGGTTTTCTCTGTGATCTAGGAAAAGGAAGGCTTGGTCAATTAGAAATGAAATGAGTTGTCTCACTTCTCTTCACACCTGTTGAAAGGGTTTGGATTAAGCAGGTTATTGATAATACGAAAGACCGGCTTTTCTAGACAGGTCACTGGGGTGGTCAAAAGCCCGTGACTGCGAGGTTAAATCACTTTTAGGGGCCCAAACTTTGAAGACTATGTGGCCAGCCTGGAGGCTGTAATATTCTTGTCTGCTGAAGGAACTGAGACACAATTAAGTGACCTCAGTCAAAAGGGCAGTCTCCAGGCTGTTCAAAGGGAAACGCCATCTGTGGTAATGATGGGCTGTGTTTATGCCAGGCTTTCATCTGCCTTTGCATGGTTTTAACCAGTAATTATACTGTCCAGCCTCTGAGGTGGGTCAAAATTACTGCTCCCATTTTACAGGTGAATAAAGAACTTCTGGGGGGTGCTGTTACTGAGGCCACACGTACATCAACAGCACTATAGCAAAGGGAGCACTCCTGCCCCCACCCGCCTGCCAGGTCAGGGCCAGGCCTCTCTGCTCTGTCTGCTCCTCTCTGAAGAAGCAGGTTGAAGGTTCATGGGTGGTGCCACCTGTAAGGGCCAAAGGCACTAAGCCTTTCTAAGGGAAGGAGTAGGGAGGGAAGAGGAGAGGAGGGGAGCATGGGGGAGGGGGAAGAGAGAAAGAGGGGAAGAAGAAAAGGAAGGGGAGAAGGAGGTAGTAAATGAAAGATGAAGAGAGACGGTAGAAAGAAGAAAGGAAAGGGAGAGGGGAAGAGGAGAGCAGAGAAGGAAGAGAAGAGAGAACGAGTTGGGAGAAGAGAAGGGGAAAGGAGGAAGAGGAATTAAGACGACTGTCCTCCTGTCCCCACCCCTAAGGGCTAACTCTACCCTCCAATGTGCTCGACCCACAACCTGGGGCCACTCTGGACTCCATTTTCCCTCACCCCTCATATCCAAGCCATTCTCATCATGTCTATCCCCAGAATCTTGTGAATCTCACTGTCCTCCATCACTGCCCACTGCTGGTCCACCCATTGCCACCTCCCCCTGAGAGCCTCAGTCCTCAGCCCTTCACTCTCACAGTCTAGCACAACAGGCCCCAGAGTGCTCCTGTGAGGGAATGTGCCACTCTCTATGACCCCTGAGGACTCTCCCGGATTCCCTGCTCTGGCCTTCCCTGCACCCAGCCGCCCTAGAAGTCTTCACACTGATGCCAGGGCTCCTGTCCTCAATACTCTCAACCTGAGGTTTCCCTGGTCCTTCCCTTCTCTGAGCCTTTCCTTGGGCCTCCTGTCTAGAGCCAGAGCTTCCTCTCTTTCTCACATGCTCATCTAGCTCCAATCTCCTCATGACAACTGATGAGTTAAATATCTTGCATAATTTACCGATTTTTTTATACTCTCCCCTCCTGCCACTGTTTCCAAGCCACTCATTCCCTTAATGTGTAAGGCATATGGACTCGTTTAGCTTTAGCTAAAGTCAGTCCACTCCAAAGTCTAATGAGCATTAATGACACCGGGATGGCTGCTGTGATCCCAGCTCCAATGAACATGATGTCCTAACATGGCTTTGAGACCCTGCTCATAATTCCTGGGGTATATATCCAGAAGTGGGGTTGAAAGATCATGCTGTGATTCTATTTTTAATTTTTTAGAAGAGCTACCATGCTGCCTTGCACAGTGCCTGTTCCGTTTGATTGTTCACAGTAAAGCAGTATGCTTTGTTTGTTTGTGAGGCAAGGTCTACGTGACCTGGGTTAGCTTTGATCACAGGTGTGCCTCACTTTATCTGCCCTGCTGAGGCAGTTTCTGTGTTTCTAGGTAGAGTGGGCCACCAAGGGATGCTGTTCAAGAGGCAGCAGGCAGAAGTGAGGCAGCAGCTGCTCTTAGCGCACAGTCTCATCCAGACCCCCTCATCCTGGGTGTCAGTCTATTGCGATGCTCTGGCTCCCAGGCCAGATGCACATGCAGGGCCAGCATCAGCAATCATCTGCCTGGATGCTCACAGGCTCAGTCCACAGGGGTGGGGGTGGGGGGTGTCCTGATCCAGCCTGCTGTTCCTCCCTCCCACTCTAAATCCCTCTGAATAAATGACAAATGGATGGACATGGCGGCTGAAACACAAACATGCTTTCTAGCATCATGGGAGAGGAGCAGAAGAGGACAGATGGGGACAGACAGCCCCATTGTGATGTTGGGAAGATGAGAGGCCTCCATGCCTGGACCTCACCTGTGATGTGACACTCAGGTTGCCTCTTAAAAGGAGGAGCATTGGTACTTTGTTCATGGCTGTGACAACATACCCAGCAAGAAGCAAGATGAAGGAAGAGGGTTTCTTTTGGCTCAGTTTTGAAGCATACTTGTCCACACTTTGGAGAACCTGATGGCTGTCTGTGAACAGGGGCTTCCTCATATCCTAGTAGATGAAGAATCTACTATCCAGTATCTAGTATCCAGGGTCTGAAGAGTGAACAGCCCGCTGCAGCCAATAGTGCTAAGGTTTTCTTTATTGAGATACACCAATCAAGCGAGAGGGAGGGAGCTGGAACCAGCGCCGGTAGCCAGGGAACCAGCAGAGAGAAGTGCCGGGGTCTCCACGTACAGCCCTTAAGAACCACCTTTATGTCACCCCCCACCCGACTTCCCTTTATCCCGCCCTCATGGGCGTGTCCCGGTACACCTGGCACCTGTCCAGGTTGCCTGGGGCGGGGCTAGGGTGTCTCCCTATCTCCCTTCCTTAGTTAATCCCCCTGGAAATGCCCTCACAGACACCCACACAGAGGTCTTTCTCCTAGGTGACTCCAAAACCAGTCAAG